TTTTCACTCGCGCGAGTTTGCATTCGTTTCTCAAAAACGTTTAATCGATGTATTGATTGATCGATTTACATTTAATCTTCACAATATAAAGTTAATGCTTCTCGAACTTTGAATATAAATAATTTTTATATAGATTTATTTTAGTACATTTTATACGAAATAAGTGTGTACAGCTGTTAATTGTGGTTTTTAAAATTACAATTTCTATTTTAATTTTTTTTAAAAAAGTGTCAAAAAAATATTAGTATCTAAATTATGACTCATCGAGATAAAAAATTGTAAATTAAGTTTCAGAAAATGTGTAAAAATAATAATATTTTTGATTATTCTCCAGTTTCAAGTTTTACAATTCTCAAATTTTTAATTAAGAATTTAAAATGTAAGTGGAAATAGATATCTTTTTTTAATAGTTATTTTTCTAAAGAAAATCAATTTCAGATTTGTCAAAAATTTTGTTTTACCGTTTTACAATATTTTATAAACGAAATCAGTTCAGATGAGTAAAAAATCTCAATTTTTTAAATTGTATTCAATTTAGAGAGAGTAAGACACATAAAACATACAGACACAAAATAAAATTAATTGCAAGTATTTATAATATTTATAAGTTTGAATTAAATTGTAATGCGATATTATAACGTTAAATTCCATGTCCGCGATATGTCACATTAATCAATTAAAGTCGAATAACGCTTTCCACTCCACTTAATACATACTAAAAGTTTTATGTGTTAGACGTTTTATTTTATAGATTATTATATATAGAGTTTAATATAACATTAGTATTAATATCTTCAAGTAATTTTGACAGATTGTTTCTGTAAGGTACTTAAAATTTTACGAATTAATATTTTCAAAAATATTGATTGACTTCACAATTAAAGAGAATCGAATTAAGTGGAATTTAATGACACCATAATAGACTGGTACAGATAACTCCAAATAATTCTCCGTTTCATCAATTTTAATAAATATATATACATTTATTGACATTAATATAAAAAATATAATATTAAATTAATATCAAACAGAAAATAAAAATTTCATATACTATTTAAAATATCTGATTTTTTAAACAAATAATTAATATATTTATTAGATATATATAATAATTTAAATATTTCACATATTGTATTGAAATATAGTGTCACACAATTAAGGTGTTTTATTAATTATTAAAAGCTCATATGTTTTAAAAATGAACTCATAAATCTAACATAAAAATATATAGACATTGTATATAAAGAAAATTTTTCTTTATTTTATATTTACAATTTAAATTTTGTCCAGGATAGTGGTCGAGATTATTTAAGTTACACAATGATTTATTTACGGTATACTGTAAGAATCGTATCGGAAAAACATATATAAATCGCATTTAAACTTTGCAGTATCCTATTTTCGTCATATTTTCCTGACAGTTTATCGCGCACGAAAGGATTAAAAACAGTATTCGGGCGTGATTTGTTATTCTGTTTCACCGTCGCCTTCTCCACTACATTTTGGCGTTACGTCATGAAAATGCAAATATTGTTGCGCCATGGAAACCTAAACGCTATTCTCTTTGAACGAACGAGCCATCCGCCACGGATTAGTCGGTTGGAAGGAGGAAGATAAATGTAAGATTCGCATGTGATGCTTTGGAAGCGTTCATTACGTGACAGCGTTCAGGTGGTTATATCGGGTGGTTTGTAAATTGTAATAAAATTTAAATTATTTGTAATTGTTGCATTATACTGGTGATAATCGTGCATCGCTAGACTATTTATTCTATAATTAAAAAGGTATTTTGAGATATAAGATTTTAAAAGTACTGGAAAATCAATAGCCGAGCAAATGGAATATATTAATAAAAATGTATTATTCTAAGCACATAATTTACTGCCACATTTATCTGATTTCTTTGTTATTCGATATTTCTTAATTATTCAATGTCTTTATCTCTCGATCGGCATCTAACGATATGTAAAAGAACAGACAGCGATCTATGAATGAGAGTTTCTTCTTATCGTCGACCATATATATTGGCTTCTAGTTCGCGTTACGTGCGATCTGAGACCTCATATAGTAGGCGTGTCGCGTAATTAAGCCGCTAGAGATTTGCATACGATCCGCCTTGTAAACGCGCGTGAAGAAGAACCATCCCATCGCCTAAATGTGGGTGGAAGGATTGCTTGAGGCTTGCCCTCCGGTCTAGTAAGAGCGTTCTGACGCAAATAGATACTGCTTTTTGCATGCGTCTTATCCAAACGCGATCTAAGACGTCCGTGTCTGAATTGCAAATACCTGCAGAAATTGAAGAAATCCTTTCTATCACCAGCGCGAAAAAAACAAGAAGATGAAGAACAAAAGATGATAATTTTTACTGTTTAATTCTTTCCATATTTTTTTTATTATATTAGCGAATTAATAATATTTTATAAAAAAAAATTAGGTACATGATTGAAGAAGAAAAGCAAATGATTTATATCACTTCAAACAAAAAGGAAAAAAATATAAAGTTTAGATACAAGTCGAAGGAAAGAAGATAAAATAGATAATAAAATATTTCAGTTAAAGTGTTCAATGTGCTTTTTGATGGTCTTTTAAGTCTGTCTGTCTCTCTCTCTCTCTCTCTCTCTCTCTCTCTCTCTCTCTCTCTCTCTCTCTCTCTCTCTCTCTGTTTACCTTTATTCTTCTATATTTAACGAGTATAATCGAGAATGTTTGTGAGCCGAGGTGTCTCTGCGCTGCCATAAAAATAAATGCAATTGTAACACGAATCGTCGATACGATTGCATACGCATTGCATTTAATATTTCGCGGGAAACTCGATAGCTCGGTGCACCCGCGATTGCAATCTCGCGGTTCGATTAAAATGGACGCGTAACCTTTTTATCAAAATCGCGAATCTCCTCTCTCTTTTCCTCTCACTTTGCAATCCCGCGTGGTATTACGTTTGCTTTATGACGGTCGAAAATATCAACGCGTTTATAAATACAAGGCTGTTTGCCGAAGCGAAAATTGACTAACGCAACAACGCAAACCTGCGTGTACATGTTTTGAACAATTGCAATATCTAACATGTATAAAATAAAGCTGGGCGCGATATACAATGCGGCTTCGCAAGAAGTGTGCATATCGGCCGGCTTTCACATAAAAAGTCGAGCAATTAAAATTACTGTAATTTTACTGTTGTGTCTTTCGGAGTAAAAAGATTGATTATTGTTTTCTATCGTAAATTTCAGTTTTGTTGAAATTATTTTCTAAAATTATTTTCGAACATTTATGATAGATTACGTATTTCATACAGTTTCAAATAGCGAATGATTTACTGTGCGATCATGGAATTATACTGTCAAAAAATTATAATTTTAATTTTAATTGATATCAACATTTTATAATTTTTTTCATTATAAATTTCTAACGAAACGACAATACAGGCGCCACAAAAGAAACGTAAATATCACAAAGAATAAACGATTTCATGAAAAATAATATAGAAACGTCTGCCTTTTATTGTTTGAAATCTAATTTATGAAATGGAATAACATTATTTTGAAGAAAAATAGTAAATGAAATTTTAAATGGCAAAAGTAGCGATAAATAACTATAATATATATTGTATCGCGATGTAATTTAATTATTACTTAATAACAACGATGATGTTGTATACATATATCTAATTCAATATCATTAAATCGAGAATCATATTGATCGTCGATGTATACTGCGATGTTGCATCACCATGAGTTTTTCGCGTTTCGTCTTCATCGACTAAAGTGCATCGTACTTTATTTTATCTAACGCCATATACCGCCGACTTATGGACATGTAATGCAAGACAACCCACCGACCTCTCACTAAAAATGCGCTGTAAAGCCGCGCAAAAACTCACTCCATAACTGCATCGATACGCCAAGTGCCTGGAAAGTGCACTCATGTGATATAAGTGCCTACGCGTTTATTTTTTTTTAATAACGTATAGTGCATCGCGCAGAGAATAGAAATTATTGGAATAATCAAATTGTTCACATGAATGATGTCATAGTTCATAAAAGAATTGAATTTTACGGTAAAAAAAACTTTTTTTACAGTTATTTAATTTGGAAAATCGTTTATCTCTTGTGATTCATCACATTAGCTCTATATGTACCTTTCCTTAAAAAAAAAAACACACACATTAATTGATTGTATTTAATTTTTGCTTTTAACATCTTCAATAGTCTTTAAACATTTTGTAAAAACGTTTAACTAGACTTTTATCGCTGTAATGTTATATTATTTTGTAGATTCATCTTTCAATGCAATGCAATGAAAAAATAACATTATTATAGGTTAAATTTCATTTATGTAGTATTTCAAATTTTCTCCAGTTTGCATGATACCGAAATGTTTTTTGTCAACTTCAAAATTTTCAGCAAACTTTAAATAAAATTTTTTCTTAGTTAAATATTTAACCATTTTAATTGGATTGTAATTAATATTTTAGTATATTATAAAAATTAATTGTATTTGCATTTGAAAATTATAATCAAAATTTATTTTAACATTATTAGAACGTTTATAATTAATAACTATTATTTAGAAATGATTTTTATAATTATTAAATTATTTTTACAATTTTAATATAATTAGTATCATAATATTAATATACATATTAGCATTTTGATATTAATAACGTTTTTTTGTTAAAGGCGGTAGCATCTTTATCATTTTTTGTGTTATCATGCCTGAGTGCGTAAAATATCAGTTCTATCATTAGTGAACTTTAATCGTTATAAATTTGTGAAAACTTGGACATTTTCCTATTAGGAATTTTGAATTAAAAATTATCTCAGGAGCACTTTCTTAAAAAATATTGCAGTAGTTGTCCTGTATGTATATATATATATCTATATAAAACGCGCGCATATATATATATATATATATGCGCGTGCACGCACACGCACATTCTACATATATGTATATATTATTTATTATAAAATATTAAAAATCATTGGTTTGCATTTTTGTTTCAGATCACGGTAAGTACCAGTATGTAATGCTGAAGCGTGCGACGCAATTAAGCAAAACCATTCGTGAAAACAAGCGACTCCAAGGTAAAATTAGCTCGAAATTTAGCTTGTGCATAAGCAAGAAGACGCATAAGTGCCAAGAGTATGTTTAATATCTGAGTAATGGACGCTTTTACGAGTTCTTAATGCGTCAAAGTGCGTGCATGATACGGAACGGGACGTCCGGAATTTTATTTATCCCTCAGATACGCCGCGCACGTTTAATTACTTTTCTTGTAATAATTTTTATCTTACATTTCTGCTTCGTTTTTATTTTATAAAAGCTACAAAATTTCGCATTTAAAATTATTTTATTGTATTTAACGGAAAAATTTAATTAATTTATAATTTTTTCGCCGTAAGCATTTAGTAACTATAGTATTTGAAATTATATTTTTTATTCGAGAAATATCTTTTATATTTATGAAAGAGTTTAAACACACTCCTTTATTAAAAAAATTTTTTTATGGATGTACAAGACAAATTTTAAATGATAAAATTTTATTTTCCCTTTTCTCTCGCTCTTTTTTCTCTCTCGCATTATATCACAGGTGATCACAATAAATTACGTAATGTTTTTTTTATTTCATTATATTATATTGTTTCTTATTATAACAATTAATGATAAAGGTGTAATCAGTATTCTCAAATACGATATGAAACGGAAAGAACATAAATACTTTGAACATGACTTTGGTCCGACTTACAAAATACCGAGAATAGGTTGTCGTGAGTTAATTTAAAGTCTGTGCTTATTACGTACTTCGCTGTAATTAACTTGTCTAATTATACAACGAAATCCTTCAGTTTCTGCGATGGCGTGAAGTTTAACGCATGAAGCCATTAAGAAACTGCTTCGCGAATCTTATTTTGCACTTCATCAAAGCAGTAGATATTTTTGCAATGTATACCCACCAAACTCGAAGCCGTTCAATTATTTCAATAAATATTCTTTATATCTCCATATTTCACACATCTTAAATATTGATTATTTTTACTTTTATGTTATTCACATTATTTATCAATAATTTTTCACTTTATGTATTTCTACGTATTTTACATACTTCTTTTCTTTTTTTTATTTCATTTTAAAGATATAACATTGTGATAATTAATACTTTAACATAAATATTTTATTTATTATTCAAATATTTATACGATATATAATGACACAGACAGATTGATATTAATTTAATTTAAAAAATTATAACCAACATTTTCACGAGTTTAAAAATATTGATTCCCCACTGCAATTTAAAATTAAAATAACGTAGATTGCTAAGTTTCTTCATAATTATTAAATAAATCGGAGACGATCGGGTTTTGTCGGATAACGACTTTCCAGTAAATTAGAATCGATAAACTATCGATATAGCACTTCCGGAATCCGCTAACGATCTTTTTGTTGGCACGAAGTGTCCATCGCAAAAACGCGATCGCCACCGCGTCGTATTGAAAGTTTAATTATGCGAGCGTGATGAAAAATTGTCAGGCAACTGTGGCGAGACATTTTAACCGTGCGAAGCTACCTAATGCTTCAGCACATAGTACAACGTGCAATACAATAAGATATTGATTCTAATTACCAGGCCCCTTTAACTGCACTTGCGTAATATTTCTAGCTACATTTTCCTAGTCTAACAATATTTTTTCTTATGTTTCGTTGCTGATCGCACGAATATACAATATCTATCAATATTAATTTAAACTTTAATCAATGTCTGAATTATTATATCTTAAGAGAAATTTTTTTCTTTTGCAATTGGATAAGGAAATAGTATAAGACAAATGTGTATTCTCAACTTATTTATTTTATTATAAAAAATATTTTTCTAAGTTATTATTTTAAGAAAAATTTACAAAATACAGTCGTGTGAACTAATTCGTGAAGATATCAACGTTTCTATACTTTTATTACTATATATTTTTGTTACTGGTCGAAGACTTTCTTGTTTCTTTTGAAATGCACATGATTTCTGCATAATTTCCCGCGTTTAATTTTCCTTGCGAAATTCGAAAACGACTTGAAATCCGCCGCCCTCCTTAAACTTAAATCAACATCATCAGACACGGTTAGATCGATGTAATTGCAGGTGCTGCGATTTAATGGTCCACTCTTCGACCTACCTCTCCCCCTTCTATGGTCTTCTCCTCTTCCTCCGTCTTTCGAGCTCCCTTCTTCGTTTCCGCTTTAACTTGATAAAACCTGCTTTGCAGCTCACAACGCCAGCCAGCCGGCGCTTCCTCACGAAAATTGAGAGTGCAATTTGTAAGCTTCCCTTCCTCTCCCCTGATATTAACCCCGATCGATGTAGCGAGCTACCCTCTCGCTGTTTTCCCTCGGCGTGTTGCAATGTTTCGCGTTCGGATAATGACGGTATGCCATCTTCGTGCAGAGATTTCGTGCGGAAAGGGGCGGCAATTCACGGATTTGTGAAATTTTTAACCAAGCGTTTGAATTACATCGCTGTACAGGTTGTTTCAAGGGTTAATTGTAAGATCAGTCGTAAGAATTTCTTCAATAAATGAAGTACTATTATACATGTAATATATTTATAAATTAATATCGACAAATATATTTTTATATAATATAATTAAAGATCTCTATTAACGAAGCCGCCATTTTTTACTTTTTAATAGTAATTTTGTCAAATTGCCTTTTATAGAATGTATCATAAAATATATTGTAATAAAAATATTAAATAGGAGAGAGAGAGAGAGAGAGAGAGAGAGAGAGAGAGAGAGAAACGAGATAAAATTTGTTATTTGTTGTAAATAATTGATTATATTTTTAAAGTATAAGTTTTACATAAAACAATAATTTTGTCGATATTTAGTGTAGTAGTATCCTCTATTAGAAGTTAAAATATCTGTTTAAATATCAGATTGAAATAGTAACTTTATATATTTTTTAATGTTAAATATAAAATCATTCTTATTATATTTAAAGTACTATTACATGAACAATGTAATTTTACGAAAAACTTTCTGAAAACATGTACTGCAACAAGAGACAATTAGTTGAAAAACTTTTCGAGTAATTTCGTGTATTTTCGAGCGGACAATTCGACGAACACTCGATGTATTCGAGCATTCAATTGAATGTGAACGAACGTGCAGAGATTGACGATGGTTGTATGCCCCTTCCATTCCTTCGTGTAAAATCGTTCAGATGATGCATTTTTTTATAATTTTATCGACGGACGTTTCCGTTGTTGTACGTATTTATTCGTATATAGCGCAAATGTGTAGCTAGTACGTTATCTTTTATTTGTTTGAAATTTTACATTGATGCGGATTTGACGGATTTGCGTAAAAATTCAAACAACCTATATCGCTTTTTCTGGCAAAATCGGGATTATATCGAGAGATTCTCAACTGATTGCCGCGCTACCGTAGTTGGTGTGATACTTGATAAACAATTGAGCGAGCACTATATACGCAAAATGGGACAACTCTTGTTTTGAGTAAAACCGAATAAACAAAACGTCTCTGTGGGCAAACATCTTCTTTAAAAAATATTAATGAATATTAAAAGTTTATTTTCTACAATAAGGCAAATATTCTAAGCTTAAAAGAATTGTTGAAAAAAACGAGTTTTTAATATCCATTAATGCTTATTGGATTGACAACTGTAATCCAATTAATTATTATTACTGTACTTATCTGATTGATTTCAGTTGTTATTACTAATTAAACCACAATTAATCTGTCATCATTATTTAAAATCGTTTAACTGATATAATATATTACAATTAGCCAATGATTACATGTTAGTATACTGAATTATTAAAATTTAATCGTCATCATTGGTTATTGTTTAACTAAGTTTTCATCGTTAATCGATCTATTAAAGTCTATGTTGTGAAACTAGTCGCTGTCCCTCGGTTGTTACATTTTAATCAGTACAATTTATATCATATTTCGCGCACACTTTTATTCACCTTCCAGCGCACCAACAGTACAGTTCGTTTCGCGGAACTTTCCGCGAAATATCGACGTGATTTCGATAACTTATGACCGCTGCTAGTTCCAGTGCCGCCACTTCTATGGTGATTGCCTTTTGTTACGGTTGAATGGCGTCCGCAACCCCCACGGGCTTTTCCCTGCCTGTAAGCCAGGGAAAAGGGAGCGACGGGGTGGTGGGCCTTTCTCTCCGTGTCCGGAGGGACAACTCGTTCCTTCGGGCGAAACTGACCGCGGCTGAGCAGGCGGTTGCGACTTGCGATAGATCAAGCCGAAATCGCCAAGACTATCAGTATTTGTCGACCCCGATCACAGATTTGATTCTTGCGTAGTTGTCGGAGCAATATTAAATTACTGTATTTTTAAATATACATATATATATATAATATATACATTTTATAATTTTTTGTAATGTATTTTTCTATTTTGTTTTATCGTTTTCATAAAGGATATTAAGAAATAATACGAAAAAAGTGACTTTTAATATAATTATGGTTATAATAAAGGAAACATAATGAATATATATTTGAAGTTATATTTGATGCTAGCAGTTTATTCGGAAAACTTTTCAAATTCGTATAAAGTTTCTTTTAATAGTTTGTGTTTATATATAAACAGTTTCTACATTTTTGACGTATATATATATGAGAAATATGTATCCGAAGTTTCTTAATCTTTTATTATTATTTTGTATAAAATATACTTAAATTATACGGTCATTTATTAATAAAAATAAATTTAGGAAAAAGTTAATGGCACGTTTTGTAACTTTACTGCGGAGCGCAAGTGGTAACATGCGAAAAATTTCATTTATTTTAATGTATACCGCAAGAAACGTGTGGTTTCTCGCTTGAAATTATAACAACTACATCAACACTATAGTTCAAAGAGTTAAAATTTTTTTGTTTTTCTATAATATTTAATCTACGTTTTGATAATACTGAGGCTGTTTATATTGTTTAATTCTCTCGTCTATTGTTGCTCTTTTATACATATTTTAACGA